AAATTGATCTCCGACATAGTAATTTACTTGACTGCCTGGATCTTACTGCATCATTTCCTGAGCACCAAAACAGCATACAGTAGGCCTATTAGAATGAATTCTGAAGTGTCTTGTGACACGCAAATGAATACATTTCATTTTAAATTGTAATATTTCATATTATTCAAGTTTTTTTACTGTATTTTTAAGCATATAAGCATTTGAAAAGCCTCTAAGTGCCGTCTGGAATTTTCTTCTAAAATGAGCATTTTTATCAGGCTCCTATATTTATGTTCAGTTATTTCACATTAATTGCATAGATAAGGACATATACATTGCCATTAGAGTAAAATTACTGAACCTACACATAGGAGTCTGATAAAAATGCTGATTTTACAGTATATGAAAATTTCAGATGGCACTTTTGCATCTGAACTCTTCATTTATATTTTTAAGCAAATAAACTGAGCCTTGATGAGTACGAGACTTCTTTCAAAAACATTTAAAAATCTTACTTCTAACTTTTGAACAGTAGTGTGCTTGTGTATATGGTAGGCGTCTGAAATCTAAACCCACACAGGATATTTGCAAGATGGAATCAACATGGTCACACATCACTGTGGTTTTCTTGTGAGGCTGAGCAGTAAATTGAAAAACTGCACAAATTCAGCCTCTGGAAAAAAAAACAGACCTTACAGCATAGTAAAACAGTAATCTTTAACTTTACATGTTGTGTGTCATCACTGTGTAATATCTGATAACACACACAATCTATTGTGAGTCAGTTTACACTTTGTGCATGTAGGATTTGCAGTCTAGACCTGTGTTTACGACTTAATGCATCCGTATTTCCATGTTGGGGAGACACTGAGAATAAAGTAGGGCGTTGATGTCAATGGGGATTGTCATCACAGGCCAATGTTGCTGCTGGGGAACAGCACAGAGTGGCACGCTTACACAACCCTCGGGAATCATCTAGCAGTATTCATCATGGGTAGAGCGCACACATGTGGTCTTTGTGTTTCCAGCAGCAGATGCACAATCACAGCCCTTTCAGTTTTACAACCTCACTAAAAAGCAAAACGCTTAGAGTGTAATCCTGACAGGTCTCTGTCTGTTTCACTCAAAGTCTTTTTCATCTAGTGTTTTCTGTATTTATTTCCAGAACGATAAAAAAACATTTCATTTCAGTAAATTTTGACTTTTGTGCAAGCTTAAATGAATAACAGCATTCAAAACAACATTTGACCTCCGGTGAAGCTTGAGTATATGATATATTCTGAAAACAATAATAAAAAATAAAAACTAGTGCGGTCAAATGATTAATCGTGATTAATTGCATCCAAAATAAAAGTTTTTGTTTACTATGTACTGATTTATTATGTATATATAAATAAATACACACACATACAGTATATATTTTGAAAGTATGCGAGAGAAAAAACACACTATAGATCAAGCATGCAAGCCGATTTAGTTTTAGACAAAATCACAAGTTAACACTGCAGTGATAAAATTCACCAATGAAAGTGGACTCAACCTCACACTTACTCTCAGAGGAAACATCTAATCATCTAAGTGGCAGCTGACGTCTGGCACCGTAGAGGAGACTTAGGGTTTGTGAAATATGCGGGTCAAAGGGAGACACTGACTTAAAGTTTACACAGTGCGCAGCATGTCAGAGAATGCCGTCACAAGGCTGCATCCCCACTTCACATGCACACGAGAGGAAATCAACCCTCAACTTTCACAGGAAGGCTGATGCTTCAGCACGCAGAGCTAATAAGTAGAAGCTATGAATTACATTAAAACTCTGAAATACTACACTTAGATTTTTTTTTAATAAAAAATTATAATTACTTTTTTATCCTAGTTAATAAACTACAAAACCACAGCTTCAGGTCTTGTATAAGCACAAATCTGAGAATTATTTTGATCTAGAATTATCTTTTTTATCATGATAATGCAGCAGGCAGCAACATGGAGTTCATTAGCATTATTTATTAGTCTAATGACTCTCCTCTGCAAGGGTCACAGATCTGCTCTTTGCATCACATAAACACTCCATAGTTGATGTGATTCACTGATTAACATCAGAACAGGAAGCATGTGGCATGTTTACAACCTTCAAAGGGCAGAAATGTGAAAAGCATGTCCAAATTTAGATATTAGTTTAAATTAGATTTTAGATTTGTGACTTATCCAGTGTTATTTTATTATTATTATTATTTCCCTTTAATTTCAGTTATTATATATACATTCTATTTAGCTTTCTTTTTATTTGTAGTCATTTTAATACTTAAATGGATTTTATTTTTGTTAGTTGCCAAGACAACTTTTTTTTTTTCAACTAACAATAACAAAAATTTTTATTTGAGGATAGAATATGTTGTAAAGGTCAGAACCCTTTGCGACCCTTTTGCTATATGGTTTCTTTTACAAACTGATAAGAGGAAAATATTTTTGTATATAGGTGCAGATCTACCAGAGCCCTATAATATTACATGTACAGTATGACTGTATGTCAGTATGACTGTACCATGCAGTAAACAATTGTGGAGGAATATAACAGCAGAAGCTATTCTTCTTAAGGAGACAGTAGCAAGAGAAGTGGCATGACACAAAGTCCTGAACTTGCTCAAGTCCAGACCAGAACAGAGATGAGACAGTGATAACGTGTGAGTAGATCACATGTTCAAGTCATGAAATTCACACTACTCGCACTATAATAAGCATGTACGCACAACATTTGTTTTTTTGCATTCTTTTGTCCACATCATGACATGTTCTCTCTCTCTCTCTCTCTCCACACACAGTTTATCATGTGGCTGCTGGGATTGGTGTGAACTGCAGGGGCAGAAGCTCTAGTCTGTTCCAGACTGGTTCTGTTGGAGAAGAGAGAGCTTTGGCATCACTCCAGAGATCTCCCCCTCACATTCTCTCCCACTCTCTTTCTCTACACAAAACAACATTCAGCACAGTGGCATACCAAACATCAAAAATGTCAGAAGTCTTGCTGATGCCTTTCTCTTTTTCATCTCATCGTCTGTATTTTCTTAGAGTTTTGGGAGCACTGGTTCTTGCACGTCCAAACGCAGCATATGGAACTGATCAAACTCAAATGCGTGCATGCACAAACTCAATTTTTAAGCAATTTAGGTGTGATGGCTAGTTGTAATGAGTTTGTTAAGACCCACCTGTCTGGGAAAAATCGATCAAAGGAACAGCAGGAGAAATCTAGTTTCCTAACAATAACTCTGAATAAAGACTGCTTTGTCACAACGATGTGCTGCTTAATAGGCTGCAGTTGCAAACAGTGACAATATAACTGTGATCCAGCTAAATGTATTTTTGCTGAACTCATATGTCAGTGATATATCATGTCAAAGCTAAAGCATGGAAAGACTCAGCTTCTGTGCGAGTAAAAATAAACATGATGTGGGAAGAATAATTTTGCTTCTTTGCAAAACAGACACTAAAATATACTAAAACTAACTAACTAGATATCAGATATTCTGAATCCTGATAATTACATTAAGTATATCAACCAGCACTGAAATATTATATATCCCCTTTTTTTTAAATTTAGAGCTGGCAAAAAAATGTTTTAAATGTTTTTTCAAATAAGTCTCTTATCCTCATTAAGCTTGCATTTTTTAATCAGAAACAGCAATATTTGGAAATATTATTACAATTTAACATAGCTGTTTTCTATTTGAATACATTTTAAAATGTAATTTATTCCCATGAAGAAAGCTATATTTTCAGCACCCATTACTTCCAGTGTTACATGATCCTTCAGAAATCATTCTCATATGCTGATCTGGTGCTCAAGAATCATTTCTTATTATTAAGTTGAAAACAGTTTTGCTGATTAATGTTTTTGAGGAAACCATTATACTTTCTTCAAGATTCTCAGATGAATAGAAAGTTCAAAAGAACAGCATTTAATGTACCCTTGCTGAACAAAACAAACAAACAAACAAACAAAAAAAATGACTGATCCTAAACATTTGAACGACAATATATAATATATATGTAATTGCTGCTGTGGCATTTTAGAATCAACCATCGCATATCCGGTTGTATGCAAGCACTGTTTTTATTTTATCAGAAGATATCAGTCACTGTCATGCATGCAACTGGACTCCAAGCACATCTCAAGGTTTGATTAACATAAACATCAGGCACTTCCTCAAATCATTTTATCTTCTAAGGTTTGCTTCTTTTTTTAATCTACCCTCAACTTTGACTTATTACATTTTTGTGTTTCACAAGTCTGTGCTCAACATGCATCAACATATTTAGAAAGACAAACAAGACAGTATATGTGGAATGAAGAAGTACTTTTGAGGCTATTATTTTTAGAATTTCTCTAAGTCCTGTGCTGTTTTATATGAGAGAGACAGAACTGGGCAGTGTACTTTTGGAAGTAGATGGAGGAGGAAAACTATGTTTTCCTGTCTCACACCAAAGGGCAGGGAGGATTTCAGCTACGTCAACACAATATAAACCCTCATGAACAACATATAGTGGACTAATATCCATCAAAAGCAAAGACAGCACAATACCAGAAACAATAATCATATTTTTAACTATGGACTCTATGGAAAAACACTGTATGAGAAGGACTAAAAACTACTTCTATATTTTTATACATGGAAATACACAACAGCCTTGTCTGAGACAACATCAAAACACTGACTAATGAGACCCTGACCATGGCCACAAGATCAAGAGTGTTAGAGCAAATCTGAACATCTATTCTCCATGCTTCTCTTCATGGCATTCTCAGTGTGAATCCACTAACTTATTCCCAGCCATACTGAGATGAGAAATGCCAAGTGCAGATTATAAAACCCCTCTAATGAGTTAGACATCTCAGTCAATTCATTAAGCATTCCATGCATTAAGCAGAGCAAATTAATGCACATGCAGCAGCATGTCTTTATGGAAAGCTAGCTGTTTCATGTAGTCACAAAAACATTGATTAAATCCTAAGCATTCTTACTTACTGCACTGGTTTAATAAACTATTCATGTGCATCTTGAGGTGGGTGGAGGGGCGGTCCGCCTGAGCACACAACACAGACAAGCTGGGAAGAGCCTGTATGACAGAAGCTGAGGAAAAAGGACACACATAGAAGCAACCATGAACAGAGACACAAACACAGAACTGTAACACAAACACTTAAAAACAACACACTGAACCGACATGACATTTTATAAAATGAGAGAGAGAGAGAGAGAGAGAGGTCTGAAATAGTTTATATCTGTAGCACAGCATATTATCAGTCAAAATTGTAAACGAGAACATGAAAATGACAGACGGATGAGTGGGTGGATGGATGGATGGCGCGAGATGCTGTTAGTAAGCAGAAATGTTTTAAACATTACATTTGCACGTGTAGTTTACAATTACTTCAAACACACACAAAACTATAAGAAATTCATCAAGATGCATGACAACCTAGCAACCAATAATTTTTTTTTTTTTAAATCAATCGCTTACTCACAGTAGAAAGCACCCCGGCGTCTTCACCTCCGCTGCTACTGACTGATTGATTGCTCACCGATCAAATAAAATCGACTACAAACCCCCAAATAAGTTCTACTCGGAGACAAACCGGTGGCATCGCTTGTACCGCGCTTCTTGGAAGGACTTCATTTACCGTCACTCACTCGAACCGACAATCCTCGCGCACAACGAAACCGCCCTCTTCAGACCCGACTGACAGCTTCTCGGTAAGGGTTAAAGCAAGCGGTATAGCCTAGATGAGAAATACATGTTTAAAGGGCTGTGTGTAGTGGGAGCCAGTTGCCATGACGTCATAATAGTTGAGTTCAGCCCCACCCACCTGTAGGTCTACGGTTGCAAGTGGCTGTGCTTCAAACGCAGTGAGCTAACTGCTTACTCAGTCAGAACTAAGTGGTGGGAATTTCGATTCAGTGACTCGATTCTTTTGAATCTTTGACCAAATAGATTCATTTAATGGCCATTTGCCGTCTAAACAAATTTAATATACTACAGAAAGTTTAAGGATCAAAAGCGATTCCCTTCAAATGCCAACTCTTAAGATAGACTCATCAGTCATTGTTCAGTCACCAACTCACCAGTCATTGTTCAGTGCCGCTCCGAGTCGTTTAGACACTGATTTGCTCAGAGATTCGTTCAAAGAAAGAGACCGGCGAATACCGTATTGACCCGAATATAAGACGATGTTTTTTTCTTGGAAATACATCTGAAAAAACGCAGTCGTCTTATATTCAGGGTCTAGACTTTGACATGTCAATAACACACCCACAACAATAGGTGGCGCCAAATACGCATAAAACGAGTGTGCCATGAAATACGTAAAGTAGTGCGTGTTGTAAAGATCGCGAGTAAAAACAGAAAAAGAAACGCTTACAGCTGCACGAGTCGTGACTGTCACGTTAGCCTGATGGGACCAAACTCTCTTTGTGATTTTAAAACGTAAGACAGTACCCAGATTTGAAGACTACAGTAAGATTTAACTTCTACTGTTAATAAGATTTTGGTAGGCTACTGTTAGATGGATAGCCTAAATGTCCTAATTCAGATGGGCTAACTGTTTTTTTTATGGTATATCAAAAAGTGTATATATTTTAAATGTGATTGTTGGTACATTTTACCAGTTTTTACCATACTTTCAAAACAAAAATTAAAATAGGAAAAATATGCAATATGAAAATAATTGAAGACAAAATGTGTTTTACTGAGAAAAAAACAAGATTTGGTTTTTAAAAAGCCTTTTCCCAAAAGGTACATCTGGAAAAAGGGGGGTCGTCTTATATTCGGGCCAATACGGTAATACAAATACGAATAAGCTGAATTCGTTCACTCAATAGATTCGTTCAAAACGAACGAGACACACCTACGGCTCAGAAAAACGCCTATGATGCTTATTCACGCTGTGTGGCTAGGAAGCTCACTGCAACTTTGTAAGTTAACTCTGCCAATCTGCTGTTACACAATATTATGATATTGTGCAACACACATAACCCAGCGCTTAATTATCATCCAATATAATTAAACAAAATTTTTTTTTTACTTTTCCATGGTGTGTTAAATGCTTTGTTTATTATGTTTGAGCAGCCGATTTCCAGACACAAACTGCACCACAGGCTGTAAATGCAAAAGTGATGACAGCCCTGATCATTTCAGAATCAGAATCAGAATGAGCTTTATTACCAGGTATGTTACACATACGAGGAATTTGTTTTCGTGACAGAAGCTTCCACAGTGCAACAGAATGACAGTGGCAGAACAAAAAAACACAAGTAAATACAAGTACATAAGGAATAACAATATACAAATCGACAGTTTTATGTACAGGTATATAACAATAGATAGTTGTATGTACAGGTATATTGTGTGCAAATTGAAATGTAGACTGAGTGTGTGTGTTAGATAAATGAGTGTATAAATATTTCTGCTTCATTATACAGACAAACTCACAAATAGTTTTGTGCTCTGAGCAGTAAATTTAATGGGCATGACCATATAGAAAGTAGTTGGATTGTAAATAGATAAATATTAACCACTTCATCTTTAAATAAATATTTTCTTACCATAAATATGTACGTAGAGTGCTACGTTTCCTCCACTCGCTATTTTTAGTGAAACTGCGCCCCCTTCTGTTTAAATCACGCACCAGCATCTCAAAATGTAATACAAAGAAGAAACAAGTATTTTTCGCCATCAAAAATAAATATTTTTATTGTTTAAAGTTCAAACGTGGGTGGTAAATAGCTCTTTTAAAATGATATGTGCAACTTCAGTACAGAAAGAAAAGAGCTCTCTATCATGCTTTGTTTAAATAGTGCAATCCGCTTTATAAAACAAATTGCTGATATATCTGTAAGGGCAGCTACTGTATGATTTCTAAATTGAAAGTAATTACAAAAGGACAAATAAAAGAGCCAGTAAGCTGCCATTTAATCACTGAAAACAGATGAAAGAGATTGCTATTTATACGGACTCACACTATAAAGAAAAATCCTGAACATATCACAGCAGTATCTCCTCTTCTTAAGGACTCCAATCCTCCCTCCTCAGGTAATATAAGTGACCCCTCTCACCCAATTCAAAGTGTTTTTATTTTTCTGCCATCCCCCAGAAGGCAGAAGAATAAAAACACTATGAAATAGGTGATGGATCACTTATAATACCTGAGGTCTGTGGCCCACGGCCGGCATTAAAAATAGTCTTTGAAATAGTTTATCTAAGAAAGTGTTTTATATAACCTCTTCCACTTCCACATGCCCTTATTCCCCCTCTATATTGTTTTTTTCTCTTAAATGTAATTATTTTCTACATACCACACCTCAACAGCTGTCTACTTCCCTTGTAAGTGTTCTTGGCCCTTTCAGTAAAACATTATTTTGTTCTCCCTCGCATATGTTACAGTGCTGGATCTCACTACTGATGTGAACTTTGTTAAAGGAATGGTACTAGCAAATACTACACATAAGTTTAGCAGCTTCAAGATACTTCAAATAGAGTTTTAGTTATTTCAGTTGTATCAACATGTAAAATAAGACTTCTGAAAGTCATGCCAAATGCGGAGAAGATTCTGTGGGTTAAAGCCATTTGCTATAATGCGCTTGGCAAAAGTGCACCTTTCATACTTAAGTCTGCGCACCTCAAAAAGATTCCTAAATCCCAGAAATGTTGTTGCATAAACTGGTTTTACACCCAGGACGTGTAGGCACAACCCCACATAGACATCTTCGAGTGGAATCGGTCGCACAAATCTAGAGGCCCAGGATATTTTTCTGGCCAGGTCAGTAGAAAAGACATATGCAGCTCCAGACACGTATGGAGGATACCAGGAGTCTGGGTAAAGATCCTCTGAGATGTACCATTTGTTGAAGCTGTCCCTGTGAGGAACAGCATCTGAGATGACTGATCCAGTGATGAAGTCTTTCCTTGAGGACTCGCTCTGGTCATGCAAGTAGTCCACCAGGTAACGTACATTGAGAAAGATATCTGCATCGATCTTCATGGCATACCAGGCCCCCTGGCAGTAAGTGGCCATCCAGTTCATAATCATCATCGTCTTGATTGTGAGATTATGGTAGCTGTCCACAAAGTCCATTTGAATGATATCTCCATATTCCTTGCTCTCCTTCTCAAGGTGCTCCTGCAGTACTGGGTCTCTTTGTGCTGGCTGACCAATGACAAACAAATGCAAAATGGTCACAGGAGGAATCAAGCCATCTTGACCCCATGTCCTTCTAATAGCAGTCCTGGCCTCTGTGTCTTTGAGAGTCACTGGGATCATAAGAACCAGGAAAGGACTTCTGTTCTCACACAGTTCTGGCTGGTTCAGAATGAATTTGTATGTTGATGGTGAGATCACGTTATAGAGCTCTTCAGGTGCTGGAGTCTTCTTCTGTAGAGACGGCCGTATTGTGCTTTTAAAAACGAGGATAACTACAAATGTGATTAATCCAGCTATAGCAAAGTATTTCAAAAGTTTATATCGCGATCGTTTTCGCATATTTAAACAAAATAAAACCGTATCACAAACGCAGGTAGCCTAAAGTTACGAAACTTGAATGTCAGGTTCGCCCATATTGCCTAAGACGCACGCGTTTGTTTTGCAAAATTGCCCAACCCTTCTTGAGAGGTCTTGAATCGCTCTCATGAGGTATTTTAAACTTCAACAATTTTTAAAGCAACTTACTATCATTTTCTATCGGATAGAAGTGGACTTTACGCTTAGCACAATCCAGCTAAGCTATAAAGGTTATTCATAATATTTACAATGTACAGTATCACGGGGGAGTGTTCTATTCAGAGTTGCCAGATGACTCTGGAATATTCGAAAGCGAATGAGTGATTTAATGATTGAGTGAGGAGGAATATTAGCTTGATTTGAGTTTCACGATTAAATAATTGAATTTGTTCATTTAAAATGGTAAAGAAACCCACACGAATCAATACAAATGTCCAAATCTTCACCACGCATTTATGCGCATTTTCATCGCGCAATCTGGCAACACAACACATGATGTTACTAGGAAAACATCTCTTGCGTTTTGGTTGTAAACCCTTTACAGCTGTTTAGGAAGTAATGACACAAGCGCATTTTGCAAAACCAAAAAAAAAAACAAGATAGATTGACAAGCTATGACATTCCGGTTTTGAATAACATGTGAAAGTTTTGTTACATTTAGGCTCGTTTTGAGTGTCCAAATAAGCGCACAATGCAAACGTGATTTATTAAACAAAATCCGTTTTATTGTAAGAGGGGTTACAAAGAAACACCTGTTGTACACCCATTTAATAAACAAACAAACAAACAAAAATATTCAAATACCAAATCGAGACATAATTTACACAGGTATTGTATAGGGTCAGTGGTTAAGTCGAAAGCAGGGTAGGGGGCAAACACAAAGACTTATTCTGTATATTAATTCTTCATTCTTTTTTGCAAACAGAACTTTCATATGAGGCTATGTTTACAATAATTCCAATCACCTGGGCATTACTTTTCCTGAATCTTGTACATTACACAGTATCACTTAAACAAAAGACTGAACATAGGTCCTGCCTTAACGTTTGTTTAATTTAAAAACATTTTTTTAGAGGATAACAATCAACAAATCAAGATTCTTATGCTCTGTGACTGAATGCCCATATAGTTATAGGGGACAGGAAACACGATGAAAGGTGCATATAAACACTTAGCAGTACTGTGTATGTACTGGTTGCAGAAATGCGCCACTTCAGAACTGATGAATGCATGAGTTGTGGGAGAGAGAAAATGGAGAGCATGGGTACTTAGATTTGTCACAGACAGACAAAAAAGATGAAAAAAAAAAATCTCTGAGCCTCCCCACTAGATATTTTTATGCAGTCCTGCATATTAAATGCTGAGTTGTTACCGTGTGCCATTAAGCATCTCGCCCTAGCCACTTCAGAACTGATGAATGCATGAGTTGTGGGAGAGAGAAAATGGAGAGCATGGGTACTTATATTTGTCACAGATAGACAAAAGAGATGAAAAAAAAAATCTCTGAGCCTCCCCACTAGATATTTTTATGCAGTCCTGCATATTAAATGCTGAGTTGTTACCGTGTGCCATTAAGCATCTCGCCCTAATTGAGAAGTTAAAGGATAAATAATTGTTGAGGCTAATTCACAGCTAGGGAAGAGGCTCTGAAGCAAAAATACCACACACAAACATTCAACTCTTCCCACTGTAACTGTATGGGATATACAGAAAGAATAATATCATTATTTTTTAAACTGGAAAGCACCAAGCCAAACTCAAAATCTCCTCTCCGTAGGCATTGTATCATATAGATGTTACTGGAGTGTCTGTCTTTGGTGTGCTTAAGATGTACAGGCACAGTGTGTAATGTTAAACACTTCACTATGAGTCTATTGGTTTACTGTCAGATTGACATGCACAGAAGTGGTACACACACAACTGTGTATGGACTGTAGCTTTGAATGGGGGGTGAAAACTTTTTTTGTACTTGTTCTCCATGAATAGGAGAGTGTGAAGAGCAGGCTGGGCTCCTGGCAGTGACTTTGGTAGATGAAGGGGATGAGATGATGCAGGAGAAACAAGGGGCAAATGGTCAGCAGTGGAGGGTTGCTTGGTTCGAGTTGGAGCGCACAGGTTTACGATCGCTTTCTCCTTCCCTCAAAATTCCTGAAGTTGGTGGGCCTGATCTTCATCTCTGCGAACTCGACGGAGTGCTCATGACCCTTCCAGTGGAACCAGTTTACACCCTGGAGATAAAACAGTTTAAAACAATCTAAATCTGTCTCTACTGTGTATTATTAGACAGGTGAGAAAGCACATATGAAATGTGTACCTTGCTATGACTGTTGTCTCCGTATCGTCCCATTATATTCACTCGATGACAGTTTTTATACCAGAAAGCTCCCTTGTAAGACAGAGCACAGTTGGTGACAGCTATATCGTGGTCATTATCGTAGGTCGAGAATGGACGGCCGTGGTGATACGTCATTGAGTCACCTTTAAAAGAGCATTACAAAATTATTACAGAGTCATATACACTACTTTTCAAAAGTTTGTTTTTTTAAAGAAATTAATACTAAAAAAGAAAATTATTTTTGACAAATCTATTTCAAACAAATACTGTTTCTTTGAACCTCCTATTTATCAATGAAATCTGAAAAAAAAATTTTAATTTCAACAAAAATATTAAGCAGCACAACTGTTATATTAGGGATAAATTACATTTTTAAATATATTCACATAGAAAATAGTTATTTTACAATGTAATAATATTTCACAATATTTGACAGTATATTTTATCAAACTATCTTATCGAACCTAAAACTTTTGAACGATAGTATAGAAATATATTAGACAAAATGTTATTCATTATTTAATTTATTAATTCACATAAATACTATTTAATATAAAATATTACTTACTTTAATATACTAATATATTAATATTAAACTACACATAAAACAACAGTATAATAAAATGCGTGTGTATACATATATTTAGTGCTGTCAAACGATTAATCACATCCAAAATAAAAGCTTTTGTTTACATATTATATGTATGTGTGCTGTGTATATTTATTATGTATATATAAATACACACACATGCATGTATATATTTCAGAAAAATATGTTTATATATTAAATATATATATTTAAATATAAATTATATGAATATAAATATAGACATGCTAATACATGTAAATATTTTCAATATATATACTTAATGTTTGTGTATTTATATATACATAAATATACACAGAACACACATATATTATGCAAAGAAAAACTTTTATTAATCGTTTGACAGCACTAATATATATATATATATATATATATATATATATATACAATATGCCAACTATATGTTGAGGAACTAGAGAGAGATCTTGCAGACCTGCAGTGCCGCTGTATCCTCCAACATGCACTTTGTAGCGACTGCGTGGTTCTGAGACTGAAAACTTGTCATACTGCGCATATGCAGACTCGCCCTTATCTCTGAGGTCCACACGCAGCTCATACTGCCCAGAGGAGGTGATCTTATGGAGGTTAGAGAGACCTGCAGACACACGGAATGAGATTTGTAGACCAACATGCTCAAAATTGCTCCATATCATAATACCTTGGGGCTTCCTAGGGCAATATTAGCAATTTGATATGTGTGCACAGATGTAAACATACCCAACCAGAATTCATCATTCAGGTCACCGAAGCCTGCAGTGTAGTTCTTCCAGTTTCTGAAAAACTCTACTTTGCCGCTCTGCCGTCTCACAAACACCTGGAGGTACCACATTATTATAATGACCAGTGTTTTTGCTCTCTGTGTATTATGAGACTTTAACGTAACCCTGTAAAGCCTGACATTAAATAATAATAAAATAAAAACATATAAAAGTGCTCTTACATTTACAGATACAGGTTTTCATTTTTGTGTGAACTATCACTTTAAGTACCTCCTGTAGGATCAGAACAGCCAATCGTTCTATCCTGCATGTCATTTGAGGAAGATTTACTCACAATCCAGCCGCCTCCATCAGTGGTCATATCACAGTTGACCTGCAGAGGCTGATTCTCATCTCCACGCAGGTAAATAGTGTACAGGCCTGAGGTTGTTTCTCCATTTAACAGAGTCTGCGAGCAATCTTTAGGATGCTTGTATAGCACTCCAACTGTGATAAAAAAAGAGAAAAGAGTTTGACCAGAGGCTAGTTTATTTTGTTCAGAGTTTGTGATCATGTAATGAAGTTGTGCTTTCAGGTTATTGGCTCACTGGTGGTGAAGACTGTCGAGATGATTCTGCTTCTCTTTGGCCCAGCGATGGCCTGCAGTCTGACTGTGTACTCTGTGGAGGAAGTCAGCTGAGGCATGCTGTAAAATGTTGCCGTGGGGCTAAGGACAACCTCCTGAGCCAAGAGAAGAAAACCAGGAACATTTCAGTACAGCACAGAATCTGCACTGGACCATGCATTTAATAATCACTGCAGACCAGAAAAATGACCAAGCTTCAGTTTTAAGGCTGTAAATGATGTTTCACGTTTGGTTGTTCGTTCAGACGGTCCACTCACCTTGACAATGCCATCAGCGGACTCAAAGCTGAGGATGTACCCACTGATGTCTGCTCTTGGTGGCTTCCATGTCAACATGGCACTTTCTGTTTGAATATTACTGGCAGCCAGATTCTGAGGGGCATCAACATCTGCAGCAGAGAGTATTCTGTTATTAACCTTGCATTCCGAATTCTTAAGGTGAGACATTACAGGCAAAAACACTGTTTCTTTATGCACTGTTTTTTGGGCTTTTCATAAAGTATTTTTTAGACTAGTGGAAAGAAAACATCCAAAATACACTTTTAAGTGTTTCTTTCATAGCACTTTATCTGTTTGTGTCTATAGATTTTAATTACAATACATATCTTTAAAGGCCATTTTCTCAAAATGAGATTTTTCTCCGGCACTGAGCCAAATATCTCCACTTCTGTAATACATATATATATATATATATATATATATATATATATATATATATATATATACCAACCTTTAAAGTTTTATCCCTATCTACAATCTGAAGGTTTTTACAGAGGGGTTTGTTCATATATAATTTGCCAGGTTTTATACAATATTTTATTCCTAAAAAATGGTGGGGTTTTTTTTGTTCTGGCTGTTGATAGTATTTTCTGATTTATGAAGTGATAAAAAGAGATATCCAAAATCACCTCTGTTAAACCTTTTGAGTCTAATATGTCAATGAAATGAAACAATAATTTTTAACCTGCTGGCTTTATCTAATGTTAAGATTTTTGTTCTCTTAAGTTAAGTTTTTATTAGTTGATTCTGCAAAAAAGTGTGAAAGAATATTTAACTGAATGATTATTAAAACACATTCTTCATGATTTAAAAAAAAAAAAAAAGACAAATTTTATCTCTGATGCATGAAGGACCGCTGACAATTTAGTAGTGGACAAATTAATCTAGTGTGAAAGTGTGAAAACATTTTATTTTTAGGTAAAAGTAGAAAGTGTGTTTTTGCCCAGTAGAAACATACGTCAGAAGGCTACTCTTTTACTCTACACCAATAAATATTGCTCTTGTATGAGCGTCCAGATGTCTTGTGTTGTTTGTGCATAAGGGTGAGTGAGTGTTCACCATACCTGTGGTGAACTCTGTGGTGGTTGCAGCGCTCTTGGCTGCTTCTCTGACAGCATAAACTTTAACGGTGTATAAGGTGGCAGGTGTGAGGGAGCTCATCTCAAACTCCACAGTGTTCCCAGACACCCGTTCCATCACTGGAGCCACTGACAAAAGAACAAAACACACAACTGAGACTCACTGCTTTATTGTTTGAAACAGCCTTCCTTCAAGAATAATTAGGGACAGTCTGAATTGTTACCACTGTCTGCGCTGTAAGTGATGACATATCCATCCACAGTAGCAATGGACGGCTGCCACAGCAGCAGAGCTTCAGTGTCAGTGATGTTGACTGCTGTCAGACCTCGAGGCTTATCCAGGGCTGTGGGCCAACAGATACAAACAGAGAGACAAAAGAAAAGCAAAATCACTGAGAGACAACTTGGAGTCGATTACTAGGCTTCTGCAAGACAGGAATGCAAAAGAGTCATACTTAGTGCACTGAATAATACAGAATCTAGCTATGAATATGAGCTGCTAAAAATAAAAAAATAGTTCTTTATTATTTTATAATACAATATTAATTAAAATTATTAATTAATAAATATTTATATTATTGTTCAATTATTTAATAATAACTATTCACTTTTTTGGTGAGCGCTTTCCTATTCCATAAACTATGAGAAGATGCAATTTGTGAGATTATAATCAATGTTGTGTAAGTTACTCAAAAATAGTAATGCACTACTAATTACTTATTACTTCTTTAAAATGTTTTAATACAATTAATTTATTAATTACATAATTGAAAAAGCAATTACATTACTAATTTATTTTTATGTTACTTTCAAAAAAACTTTTCCTCTCAACAAACTGAAATTAGTGTCTCTGTGTCCTGCTGGTTCATCAGTGTGTATAAGTCATGCATTCAGCACCTTACATTTCTGCATCAGATAATACACTGTATAATAGATCTCGCTCATGACAGGTGTATAATTCACGCTTTAAAAGTACCTTACTTAATTACATTTATTTAAAATGCTAAAAAGTAACTAAAATGTAACTAAAGGTCATTTAATAGTAATGAGATTACAGAATCAAAAATGTAATCAAGTTACACTACTTTTTGACTGAAAAGTAATTATTTTACATTAACTGATTACCTTGTATTTGCATTATTCCCAACACTGATTATATTCTAGAAATATAGTTGTACCTGTCGTGACTCGATCAGATCCTGGTTCACTCTCCTCCAAGCCCTTCACAGCGATGACAGTGACCTGGTAGGTCACTCCAGGGGTCAGATTAGGCAGCATGGCTTGAGACTCTCCTCCATCTACTCTCAGTGTCATAGGGCTGCCTGCAGGGGGAGACAGAATACTGGAATAAATTAGATTTAGCGTTTGTCACTAGAGGGCAGCACTGTCTGATTAATTAGGATGGTGATATGCAAGAATGCTGTGCTGATGGATAAAACAGTGTGGTTTGATTTATGATATGCACTGATAGATTCACATAACTGAAGATGGGCCTGATCTAAAAACCTGCACTGATCACAGAGAAGCCAAAAAGGACAGTATGAGACTTTAGGGGGACATCTCTTGAATTCAATCAATTTATTATGCCAAGATGGCAGTCTAAGAGAATTTCCTCCTCAACTTATGCAATATATTACATACGATATAATTTATGACAAATCATAAACTGAGGAAGTACAAATAATACTATGATTTTCCAACAGGCAACCATCCAAATGCATAGAAAACCACACGGTAAAGTCTCGCTTTCTTAAGACGGACTATGTGCCAACTTGGAGGGAAGGCGGCTTTGCTTTCATTTCCAGAACAAAAGATCCAAATGTGCTATAAATAGTACTAATATATGTGCACTTCCATTCAAACGTTTGGTGCATGAAAGTTATTTTTTCAAAAGAAATTAATACTCTTATTCAGAAAGGACACATTGAATTGATCAAATAATAAAGACATTTATTATGGTTCTATTTCATATAAATGCTGTTGTTTGAACTTTCTATTCATAAAAAAAAAAAATATATATATATATATATATATATAGTTTATATATAAATATGACAGGTTTTCAATATTTATAATAATAATAATAAAAATATTGGGCACCAGATCATAAATTACATTTTAAAATACATCAAAATGTAAAAGTAATTTTAATTTGTAATAATATATAATAAATTACTATTTGTAATAATATATAATAAAATGACCACATCACTTACCACCCTGAATGGGCACATAGGAGACCCGGTAGCTGTCTACATGGGTACGGGGCAAAGTCCAGTGAACAGTGGCCGATGTATCTGTCACATCAGAAAAGCGTATCTCCTTGGGTTTTCCCAGACCTTGGTAAGAATGACACACAGAGAAGAAACGAATAAAAATATACTGTTAAAAATGTGTGTTCTAGCATTTGACAAATAGGAGTTAAAAACCTGTCCCCAGAAACAAGTCATTTCAGACTGTAAAAGAAACAAAAATACAGTTGGTGTCAAGCAACTTCTTGAACTACCACATTTATTGTGCTGCAACAAATAGATGCATCAACGTAAACACTCAGGACATGACCAACTGTGCGACTACAGAGAAAGGACACACAGACAAAGGCCCTGGCCTTAAAGCTATTTCTCAGTGATGGACCTCTGAATCTCGCGTGATAGATGCAAGAAGATTAACTTGCCCCCCAGTACAGAGGCACAATAGTGTGACATGCCAACATCAGACACAAGTGGAAAGTGAAGTTCACTAACATAAAAGAAGATTGCCAGAGACAAGCACGCAATCAGCACAAATACACAAAATAGTTGGACCTGCTTTGTAAATAAAACCCTCAATCACACAGCAGATAGAGACGGAGAAAATAAAACTGGTGAGAGAAGACTTGGATGCAACTGTTGTTGTTAATGAGAGACTCTTGAGCTACTCTGTGGACACAGTAAGGAAAAAGAAAACAATGAGTGATGTAATATTGTTAAAAAATGGGAAAGAAGGTAATGGAGGAATGAAAGACTTCATTTTGAATGGTATTAGTTTTGACCAAACCTGCTGGCTGACAGAAACATTAAATCATTGAAAATGAAGAAGAAAAAAAAAAGAGTTAGTGGTCCCTCCACCAGCTTCTCTTAAAAATCAAAATACCTGTTCGAGCTACAGCCAAAAGGGGCTGGAATTTTCGTCCCAAAATGATCCCAAAGAGCTCGATTTCATACTCCGTATCTTCATTGAGACCTGTCACCGCTTCTGTTCTCTTGTCTCCAGACACACTGATGTGGAGAGGTTGGCCCAGGCCGTTAGAATCCCCGACTTTGAGAGTGAATGTATCAAAGATGCCCTCTGGTGCTGTCCATGTCAGTTTAAAGCTGTGCGGGGTGATGTCCGAGACCGAAAGATGCTCCACTTCAGGTTCAGCTTCTGGTTGACAAAATAATAAAGTTGTTCTTCCTCTGTAAACTCTGTGGAATGTACTTAGAAGAGGTTAAATGGCCAAGAACTGCGAATGTGGTTCCCTAAACCAATTTTCCTCTATTTGTGGTGTTTGTTTAAGTTATATAAATTTGAGAAGGGGAAGACGCTGCTGTATGAGAGACAATTCAGCTATTATGTTACTCATGCATGAAAATAGGCTTTTTAAAAATCAATTGTTCAGTCATCTATCAGTTGTTCCTATATCTGTGGCAGGTGATGCTGAAATCAGTGTGCCAGTAAATTTAATTTACATATTTGGATTAGAATATGGAATGAGATCTGTTGGTTAGTAGAAAAAAAAACTGACATTGATGAATTTTCCACCATTATATTAGGTTCCACCATCATAATTGTATCATCATATAATAGCAGTCGTGCAGGGTTCAAGACAGAGCTTTTCTAGGACAATGACATATCCATAATAATCATATTGACAGTTGGGCTCATCCTGGAAATGCATTTTTGTCTCGTTTTTAGCTGATCTTGCAAGAAGGCCAATGACAATGAAAGATTGAAAGACGTCTCTTGAGAAGCAATCGTTGTGGTAAGGATATGTAAAACTGAAAACCTAAAGCCTCAGGGATGTCTTGACCACATGAGGAATGCATTGTATTTTCAACAATAGCCTTGTATGTGCCAGAATGTGGCCCAGTTTTAATATGCTGTAGTTTGCTCTTCATCTTCATGTACTAAGAACCAGTTACTGCCTTACACACATTTTACATATTAGTTTTACATAATGTATTTTACATAATACTTTTTACTTTGAAAGTATATGAAGTATTAAGGAGAAGGAAGATCATATTGAATTATGATAAATTGACTTAATTTGATCTTGCACATTTTTATTTCTGCTCAGACTAATTTCTAAATGCTTGTCAGAAAATTCAAAACCAGAGATGTTATACAATCCAGTAGCCAGACTCTAAATGTATCAATAATTTCTAAATGCAATTTAAAAAAATAAATGTAATATATAATAAATAAATTTTATATATAATAAATATAGTTAATTAACATTTTATATACAATAAATATATAGTTTATATTTAGAATATAAATTTGGTATTAATCCTGTTAATTAAAAAAAACAAAAACAATAATTGGACACTGGATACACATAGAAGGCAATCAACAAATGAATAGTTATACCCGATACTGAGATAAAATTTTTTAAAAAACAATGTAGTATTGTTTCAAACTGACAATGACTAAACAGAGCCTTGTTGTCCTAAACTAAATTTTAAAAAAGGGGGGGCGGAAAAAGACCCTTGACCAGACTGAACCTCTTCTTCCTCTAAAGCTCTGGATGATGTGAAACAGAAAAGACATTTGTTGAATGTGGAAAAGTGTTGGAAATGAAAACCAGTGAGGACAAATCCCGTGGAGCTGTCCCTCTTCATTAGCACTGTTCACTTGTTTAAGAGTGTCAGCAGTGTTTAAGGCATTTCAAGAGTACTAACATGTGCTCTCCAAGGATCACTTTCATCTGACTGGCTTCTAAGTCTCTCCGGTTTGACAAAGAGGCATCTGTTTGTGGAGGTGGAAAAGGCGCCAGCTAACCTACAGAAACCAGGTCTGGAAGCAGTAATTCTACAGCAGGCAGCTAAAACCTCTGAGGGGGATATCTGTGTTGACACAGTTAAATGTTGCAGCAGGGATTCGCAAACCAACCAGAGCAAGAAAACTACCGAAGTTTCTGTAAACATTGTACACTTTTCTGGTTTTAAAAGCTTGTATTACTCAGGCCAGAGCGAGGCAAGAGTTCATGGGTCATGTGACATGAATAGAGAGGAGGTTAACAGAAATCCAATCAGTTCCCCTTCTCCTCTGCCTATTTGCATGCAGACTTGAGAGACTGCTACAACTGTGGCCCCTGCAGCCACTGGCTGATAAACGCCAAGAAAATGTGTGAAAGTGAGGCATAAGAATGAGAAGTAGCGCAGGGTCAGAAAACTGGGTGTGCATACTGAAAAGATCCTTCACAAGAAGCGACAAAAACTCCTCAGGATCACTTCCATGGTAGTACACCCCAGCCCAGTCACCCGCTCTATTCGCTGACTCTCTGAGGAGGGGCAAAATGTTGGTATGCGCCTAATAAATGTATGTTTGCTACAATACAACTTGGTAGACTATAAATGCCACAAACTAAATTATTTAAATTGACTCACCGACCATGTGAGTTGAATGCCGCAGTCAATTAGAATGAAAAAGGCATCATTAGTCTAACTTTGTTTTGCCTGTTAAACACAAATGTACCAGTGATGACAGGCAGAGGTCATTTACTACACCTGGAGGCAGTGCTGGTGATTATGCAGACGTGAATGTGTGGGGAGGCATTATGATGCAGTGCAGGTGTGCTCTGAATGTCAGTTTTACTTCAACATCAAATTCAGCAGACGACAGAATCTGTCGCTGACTTGAAAGGGGCTTGGTTTGTTAGTGTTTTGCACATTTAAGAGATTATCTGTGTCTGAAATCATGTACTGTCAAGTATGTACTGCATTTGATTATGAACTCACTTGTCAGGCATTAATGAAGTACTCTTTGTTTTAGAAGTACGCATGTGTTGTAGTATTAATACAATTCAGACATATTATTCGACCATGTTGTTAACGTCATGTGAACTATGACATCAGATGAATACTATATGATGGCCAGCGGATCATACGTTTATGAAAACTGACAGAGTACATTAGACGTATTGCTTTCCGTATACTATATATAGAAATGGACTTATTTGGACACTGGGATTTATTTTGGATGCAGTCATGTTAGATGATACAGCATTACACTACTATTTACAATTTTGGGGTTGTAATTTTTTTTTACTCTCTTAACACCATGGCTGTATTAATTACAAAAAAAGTAATATTAATCAATGCATCAAAGCACATTTGATTAATGCATCCATTTTGAATAAAAGTATTAATTAATTGAGAATTCTTCTGAAATCAGTATTATTGGATGTGGCTGCATTATATTCATTATTTTGTTTAAAAGATGCCCAAATATTCACTTTACCTTCTATATTAATAGTGGAAAATACAAGAAATACTCGTTGGAAACTAGTTTCAGTACAAGATGACAGTAGATGAAGAAATTAATACACTATGAAGACTACAAAAACTGGTTAAAATAATAATAAAAATGTGTTAGTTTTAATTCACCATGTGATGTGATGAACTGCACATTAGAAGAGAAAAGAGGTTAGTTGGTTTTACTGCTTGAGACACAGCATTTGATCCAAAGAAAACTGGAAAAGAAGACCAAGCTGGTCCAAGATTGGACAAGAATTAATACCTGTGATGGCTTCAGCAAAGACAGGATCTAAGAGCTCTCCCTTGTACAGCCCATACAATGTGACCCTGTAGAAAGTACTAGGGGAGAGGTCAATGACAGCCAGGCTAAACTCCTGGCTGGATAGAGTATGGTTCTGGCCATCAGATAAGCCATCTGGGTCAGATACGTCAACCAGAAAGCCCTCAACCTCTCCTCTGTCCAGCTCCCAGGACACACTGAAGCTGTCCCAGGACACATCAGAGATGGTGATGTTGCCCACCTGAGGCTTCTCTTCATCTGGATGACAAACAAATCAGAAGATAATTAATTTGGCAAGAAAAGGTACATATAGGAGAAGAACATAGGTAATGGTGACTGAACAGGTTTGGCTGATTTCTGAAGGCATTCTCTCTTTGAGCTGATGGTCGTTTTAATTGCTGAGTCGAATGAATTGAAGTTCAAACAAAAATACCAGAAAACAAACAAGTTTCACATTATTCAAAACAATGAATAAAAAAAATCCATGTTATGAGCAACAATAAACCTTTTAATGTGTTACTCCTAACAAATTCATCTCCATCTGTTCCAAACAGAACAGAACATCTGCCCATGCAGTGAAAAAACAAACAAAAAAACAACAGTAATAACTGAGTAATAACTTTCAAAAAGTTGTAGTGACAAACATAATAATTTGAAGTCTTTTCTCTTGCAACCTATTAACATCCAAGCACCAGCTTGCTGAGACAGCTTTGGTATTAATGGCCCTGAGAAAAGCCATTAATTTTTGAAGGTCCTGCCTAGCCTGCCTGAGCAGAGGTACGCTGAACACTTCAAATATGGGAGGCAGTCATGCAGCACGGTGCAATGCAACCTATAATTGAACATCAATGTGCATTGTCAGCATTCACAGGCAAAGAGGGGGCAGATAGCTAAGAGATGCACGGTGGGCTAACCATTATCCTGTCAATGCACATTCAAGAGGGCAGAAACGTGGCTTGCAAATAGGGTGAGAGACAATGGGGATGAAGTGAATGACCTTCCCAGGCATAAGGGCCGGTTGTCGCTTTTGAAACCTGGAGATGAAACAATACGAAGCTGTCAAACAGCAAAACAACTCATTGATCATCTTGCGCCATTCATGGGAACTGAAATTTGGAGAAATTGATTCATTTTGCACACTTATCCAATAGAGTTACCGCCACTGAAAGTGGCCCATGTATGTCTGAGGAATGGCCTTCACTGCATGCAGATGGGGATAGAAGAAAAGAATGGCTTTATCGTTGTGAGATCCTTTAGGGTGTTTGGATAAAGCCTTTGTTACGCATGCACATGCCATGAAGGTGTGGTCACATTTATCATTGCTTGTTTTGCATTGCATTGCATTTTAATGTGTATCCATGTGGGAATTTTGTGTGAGGCTGAATGATTTCCCCACAGCGATTTCGAAACGGGTTCAAATTGGTCACAACTGGTCCAACAGAAAGCTTCCTGGTTTGAAAGTAACTCCTGTGTAAGCTTTGCTTCATAAATAGCTATACTATTGACAATAGACCTTTTTGCCCAACAAAATTTTGCTGAAAATTCACGTATGTGACCATACCTTAACACAACATAACAAAACTTTGTGCATGCATGTGACTGTTTGCTCTCTCCTTTTGGCCTGGTTGTGTCCTCATATGTTTCCTTTGAGATGGTCATCGGGTCTCCATGTTACAAGCTGAAACTCTCATAATCATGCCAGAGAAGCATTCAGTGAACAGAAGAAAGCCCAGACCTAAAGGCCCCCCCCCACCTTCCCATCGGGTCTGAGGGAAGTGTATGCCCATGTTTGTGTGCCGTGTCTAAGGCCGATAATGGCTGCTGAAATAAATGCATTGGGATTATAGTGCTGGTGATTTCAGAGACAACATTTTAACAGGCGGCTCAGCATGTGTCCTATTTATCAGTCCACCCCACAGTTCACTGTGGTCAAATCACGCAAATCCAAAAGGGGAGTGGGCTCACTCTGACGATTATCACATGAATGAGCTTTCTGTGCGTGCATGTGTGAGTGTGTGTGTGTGTTTGGGATCTTGAGAAACACTGTATCTGTTGTCTTGCCATGGCGACCAAAGCAAACAACTGATGTTATATTCTGTAGCTCCTTGGTATTAGTTAATGATTATTCTGTTATAAAATCAAGAACATTTTGGTAAAAAAAATTCTGGAAGTTAAGTGGCATCCTGTCCGCAGAGATTTGGGCTTTCTCTAAAAAGAAAAATAAACCCACATGCCATAAATGAGGGCAGAGATTAGGGATATTAAGCTTCAGTCTCCAGTGCATGGTGGCATTTTGAGATCTTTATGGAAGTTTTCTCATGATAAGGAGCTACAAAATGTTTCATTCAAATTTATAGAACAAGGACTGCAGTATCTTCAAACTCCAAAAGAAATATTGGCACTTAAGGGAGGAAAATAGTCAAGATAATAAATTCCAGAGTTGCCTTCAGATCCTCAGTTGCCTGCTGAATAAATACATTTATGTGGTGAAAAAAATATTCAAATCATATTTTTTGAAAGCTTATTTTATGATCCAATCCAATATTGCTTTTGTCACTCTAGAGGTAAGAGAAACGGGGATATGAAGATGCATTCTTTATATCTAAATGAAAATGTAATGATGCATACTAACCTATGGATGCCGACAGAGTGGCTGGCGCACTCATCTTTCTTCCTCTCTTGGCAGTCAGGCTGATGGTGTACAGCATGCCAGGATTCAGGTCAGTCAGGATGTAGGTATTGGCAGCACCAGGTACCTCCAATTCAGTTTCTGTGCCATCCGCAGATGTAAACACTAGCACATAGGTGTCGATTTTGGCGACCGGCCTTCTCCAAACCAGTGCCAATGTGGTCTCCGTGGTCTCACTTACTTCAAGGTCTTTGGGAGCATCAATATCTAAGAGGACAGGTATGTAACATTAAAAACAAAAAATGTCAACTCTGTCATCATTTACTCATCATCATGTTGTCCCAACATGTATTTTCTAACACTGAATACAACAGGAGAAACTGGATGTTTTTTTCCATGCAATTACAATGAATGGGACTTGGAGCTTTTAAACTGCAAGAAGCACCACAGACATCATAAAAACTTGACTCATTTGTTATATTCAAACTACTTTAGATAATCCAGGGGGCTTTTAATCACTGCAACCAGATCATTGAGTCAGTGAGCTGAACTTGAGAACTAAACAAATCATTTAGACCTGTTTTGTAAACTGGATCAAATGATTCATTAAAATGATTCAACTAAAAATAATTGATCATTTACAAATCCAACATGAACAAACCAAAAAGAGCTATGGTGGATGTCACTATTTTCAGTAAATCATTATTTACATTATTGGTCTGTTTATCACACAAAGGCTTTAGATGATTTGGATTATGGCACAGGAGTCATATGGACTACTTTTATGATACCTGAGCACTTTGATATGGTGCTTTTTTGTCATTTTGGTACAGTCATCATTCACTTTTATAAGTGAATTTTATAAGAGTGAATTAATAGTTTTTCCTTAACTATTCCTTTCAGAATTAACATGACATACCTACAAGTGGGTTTATTAAGACAATAGAACTCACATGCACTTTTAACTCGGCCAATAAGAGGAGAAAATGGGGAAGACAAGCACATTAAATAAAGTAAAAAAAAAACATAAAATACAGGTGAGTTACTGACCATTTGGTTAAGTCTTACCAGTCACAGCATTGGTCGTCGCAGGCAAACTCTCACGCTCTTCCTTGATTGACGTCACTCCCATTCCATACTCCGTCCCGGGCCTAAGGCCTAAGAAAGAGCCCAGCAAATTCAGTCCTCTCAAATCATTAGACAAAACGAAACCATTCATCTCTCACATTAGTTGTTTTTGGAGCCTCCGTGGTAGGCAATTGTTTTCGTTCTTGCCACAGCGCGGTTTTGATTTCAACTGCACCCCATTGGATGTCACTATTTTCGGTAAATCATTATTTACATTATTGGTCTGTTTGTCACACAAAGGCTTTAGATGATTTGGATTATGGCACAGGAGTCATATGGACTACTTTTATGATACCTGAGCACTTTGATATGGTGCTTTTTTGTCATTTTGGTACAGTCATCATTCACTTTTATAAGTGAATTTTATAAGTGTGAATTAATAGTTTTTCCTTAACTATTCCTTTCAAAATTAACATGACATACCTACAAGTGGGTTTATTAAGACAATAGAACTCACATGCACTTTTAACTCGGCTAATAAGAGGAGAAAATGGGGAAGACAAGCACATTAAATAAAGTAAAAAAAAAACATAAAATACAGGTGAGTTACTGACCATTTGGTTAAGTCTTACCAGTCACAGCATTGGTCGTCGCAGGCAAACTCTCACGCTCTTCCTTGATTGACGTCACTCCCATTCCATACTCCGTCCCGGGCCTAAGGCCTAAGAAAGAGCCCAGCAAATTCAGTCCTCTCAAATCATTAGACAAAACGAAACCATTCATCTCTCACATTAGTTGTTTTTGGAGCCTCCGTGGTAGGCAATTGTTTTCGTTCTTGCCACAGCGCGGTTTTGATTTCAACTGCACCCCATATCAATCTAATGCCTTTCAGTGGCTGCATCAAAGAGCTTCTCCACAGGCCAGAAACAATATTTACCATCATACAAGAGATTCTCAGATCCCCACAGCCCCCATTCATAAGAGCCCTTAGCCCAAATCCCACACTTTACCCCTCTTAATGCCTGTATTGGCTCCTGCAGAGGTCACTGTGCAGGAGTCCTCCAGCATGAAATTACGCCTAATGCAGAGGAAGCTCACTATCAATAAAATCACAGGCGTGACGGCAATTACAGATAATAACTGTGTGAAAGAGACAACTAGTGTAATGTGTGTGTGTGAGAGAGAGACTCTGCGTTATTAGCCGAACAGATCGTCCGCCTTATTTACAGGGAACAGGCCTCCCAAGGACAAAGGAGCAAACCAGACAAAGAATCTATTATCCATTTTGAATATATTTTTCTCCCCGCCATGATAATCCCTGCTTGTGGTAACACATGGTTGTAGAGAATAAGAATTAGCGCAGGAGATTGCCTCAAAGCACAAGTGTATAATAGAAGTGCTGCTGCAACGAAGAAAGCCTCCGTTTTCCCTTTTTGACTGGGATTTTCACATTGAAGCACCAGTGTTACTTCATTTAAGGCACGAATAAGGCATTACCAACAAAAGGGATAGCATCTCATTTGCTTTTAGTCATGTAAACACTTCACATCACTAAAACAAAGGAGCTCATTTAGAAATAAAGTGCTGATAAGTACAAGTACGAAAAAAGCCACTTTGAACCTTTTTTGAATTAGCCTATTTCAATTCAGACCTACAATGGGATTCCAATTGTTTCTAAATCCTTTTTGAGGATGTTTTACGAAAATGACTTCACACTTCAACACCTGAGAACTACATTTCTAATTTCAAGAGGGCACAAATGGCTTGGATGTGCAGATGGACTGAAAACTACTCTAGTGTTTGGACTGCACTGCAACATGGCCTAATTTAATTCCAGTTTTCAAACACAGTTTTTCATCTGTATGATCTGTTTGTAATTGATGTGGTTTGTAATCTCTGGAGAGGAATTACTGTGTAATTCAAATTGGCCTCTCACCAGTGATTTTAGCCTGAGTGGTATCTTGCGGGCCGCTGGGGAAGACCAGTTCTCCATGCTCCCCTCCAGAAAGTGGGCCGTATTTGACGCGGTAATTGAGGACATCAGATATACTGTTTTTCCACTCCAGAGTTATGCTCTCATCTGTCTGTTCAACTGCCTTGAG